GATTCATTACAAGTGAGATGGGACATTACTTGGACAAAAGCAGTAGTGATAGATATGGAGAGAAATCAGTTTATTGGGAAATGTTTTGGAGACATAGTGAACAGGACGGATGGATGGCCTTGCCTTGAAAAATAAGAGAATGGAATGAGTCATGGGTTGTCTAGAATTTCTGTGTTAACAACTCAGCCTATGGTAGTGTCGATCTGGGTGTGCAGGGAGACCACACGTTCTCTTTTGCCAATGTCAAGGCACAGTTGTATAACAGTCACCTCCAATGAAGAGATCAGGTAGAAAGTCTATAGATCTTTGGGCATGTCAGGGATGAATGTATAAATATGATGTTCCCAAGGATGGGTGAAGACACAGGGAGAAATAAAAGGCAAATAACAGACATAGAAAGAATGGATATAATCAGTAAGTATCTCTACATTTAGAGGCTAGGGAAGAAGTTGTAGTAGAAGAGGCTAAGTAAGGACCGATTTTAGAACTTTAAGAGGGCCAACTCACCAATTTGCCTTTAAAACTTTAATAAATATTGGAACTCACTCTCCCAAAGATGGCACCAAGTTAAACTCTCATCATACCCCTATGAACTGTCTAGTTCCTATATATCCTCACCAGCCTTGATGATGATCAATCTTAATAAATTGCTTGGCATCTGGTAAAAGGAAATAATATTTGATTGCTTATCGCCTCTCGTTCACCATTCACCATTCATCCTGCTCGTTCCGCCTGGGTCTTCTGTTATCCAGCTAACCTAGCTTACCGCCAATTTTGCCATCTCATTGTGGAGATTTGAAACTCTCGCTATGCATCAGGATGATGTACGAAGGACGGAACGAGAAAGGGTCGGCTCCTCCCCAGGTCTCCTGAGTCAGATTCCCTGAAGCAGTGCTGTGAACCTCAGCCTGGTGCTGTGTCTCCTGCCTAAGACTCTGTGGCCTTCCTCTTCTATTCCTAGAGGCCCTTCCCGCCTCGTGAGGCATCGTTTCCAAACTATTAAGCGGCGTTGAGCTGTTAGCCTCCAGGCCAACAGTTTGAGACAACTTGCTGCTCTGCAGGAGAAAGAAGAGATTTTCTACTTCCGTAAAGTTACAGTCATGGAAACCCACAGGGGCAGTTCTTCCTCGTCCTCTGGGGGCTCCACACGTCAGAATGGACTCGTGGCAATGAGTTGTGAAGCCGTTTAAAGGCATGATTATCAATAGACTACACGCTAGTGAAATATACAATGTATACATGTACCAATTCGTGAGACTTCAGTTAGTGTATCACCATTTCAGGGCAGGAGCGAGCGTCGAAATGCTGAACAACCAATTGTTCAAAGCCATCAACTAATCAGTATGGAAATCAGACTTATGCTCAGAGCTTTCCTTCAATGGGTAGTTTTAACTCATTCATGCTGAGTCATGGGGATGTGGCCTGGGAAAGGGGACTCAGCGCAAGGATTGTTTCCTTCAATATCATTGATAGCATTGCAACTAAACTAGCTGAACATCAGACCGGCCTAAGACCCACCTTCAACCTCAGCCCTGCAGGGTCTCAGTGGAGAGCTCCCAGGAGGTAGTCACATGGAAAAAAAATTTTCCTTGAAAAGTTTGTTCTGTTTACCAAAGAAAGCAAGTCATCATAGAAAAAGCAAGGGAAAAATAGCTCAAGCAGGAAATTTAAAGGTTCTATGATCTCATCAGTGAGAGATGACTACTAGCATTTCCAAAAGTTACATTAATCATTTCTATAGACTTTCACATAGTTGAGGTTGTACTGTACATTTATTTTTAAATAAACATTTTCAGGAACCTAAACAGACGACCAACTCCTGTGGTGATCCCGACCTATTTAAAAAGAAGATATCTGCCCATGTTTTCAAGTCTAGAAAACGAGTGAAAATAAGATCCCGGAGTCTTGGAGATTCACCTATCTTAGTCCAGTGGCCATTATCCCTTGTAAACTGATCACTAAAGTGTATATTTATGTTGTCTTCCAACGCTAACCTCTTGGTAAGATGTCCTTACATCCGCACCAGACTTTCTGTTTTCTGTAAGGAATGGTGCAAAAATCACGGGCATGCTATGGCCCACACCTGCTGTGGGGAAGAGTGACACCTGCACTCCTCCATGTCACGACTCACATGACAACTGGTCTGTAAACAGAGACGATGCCCTTGATGAGGAAGGGATGGCGAGAGATGATTCAGGGGAAGAACAATGGCGTGAGAGTCAGCATACCAGGTTGGACTCTTTCACCAGCATCTGAGCCCAGCGGATGCACACAGAGGAAGACACACAACCTGCGACGGAGGAAGGGCCAATGGGACACGTCCTATTAGAGCAACCAAAGGACACAATGCTTTCTACCGTGTTGGAAACTATAGTTGCCTAACTTAGTAATTGCTTACTCATTAGAATAACAATACTAAGGAGGGAGCTCTTTCAGAAGGGTATAAAAGGGGCATGGGATGAGGAGAGCTCCAAACTCCAAACCTTCACTCTCCTGTAAACACACCCAGAACCTCCATCCTCGGACACCATGGTCAACTCCTGTTGTGGCTCCGTCTGCTCTGACCAGGGCTGTGGGCAAGGCCTGGAGACCTGCTGCTGCAGGCCCAGCTGCTGTGTGTCCAGCTGCTGCAGGCCCAGCTGCTGCATCTCCAGCTGTTGCCGCCCCTCCTGCTGTGTGTCCAGCTGCTGCAGGCCCAGCTGCTGTGGGTCCAGCTGCTGCAGACCTACCTGCTGTGGGTCCAGCTGCTG